ACAATCGATTATCAGTTCCATTGGAAACATCCGCAGGTAGTAATAATCGATTACCCCTTTAAGATAATCGACTATCGCTCATCCCCAGAAAATCTGCAGCCTTCCATAGTCGATTGTCACTTCTTGTAAATCGATTGTTTACCTCTCCTGAAGTTCCGAAGCTCCTCCTGAGAAACTCAATCACTTGACAATCGATTATCCCTACTTGAACAATCGATTATCCACCCTTTCTTCAAAACAAGGAGCTTGTTCCTTAAATCCGAGCTAAATACCGACAAACCCCGAGCGTAGATATAACAATAGACCATAGACAAAGGAAAAGAACATATCCTTTTGTGTTGTGAGACATTGGACTGCGCAGTGAATGTATTGTCCACCCAATTCCAGGACATTACAAGTAAAAAGGGAGGGGTTCCACAGGATCACCATACGACTGCCAGGTATAAGATCAAAATTGGTGGCATAACTCCACCCAGGCAGTCTAGTATTCACAAAAATATCCAACTTAATAGCTGTGATCTTGGTCTCCAGTAGGCAAACAAAATGGACACCAAGTTCTAAAAGATATTTACACAAAAACTTTTGTTTAGAGGACCTAGAGAGTCCTCTAATATTCCAACAAAAGAGCTTCATGGAGGAGGAGGGGCATGCCCCTTGCCACCCTTTTTATTCTCTTGTCTCTTCCCAACCATACAGCCATCATCCCTACTCTTTTTCTTTTGGAAATCTGTTCCCTTGCCAACCAATGTGTCATAAACCAAAGGACCAGTGTTAGGGCAAGGGTCTTTAGCCTTCTCCTTAGGGGTGGAAGAAGAGGGGATCAACCCACCCTTTGGTTCAGTATGAGTCTTCCCTGTTAGAACCCACTCCCTAGAAACAGCATTCCCAGGATGACCATTGTGCTCCTTTGGTTTAGCCATAGCCTCAATCTGTTTAGCCTCCGGCTCAGCAAGGTCTTGTTTCCCTTTCATCTCCAAGGCTCTACAATGGAAGGGGCCATGGTTCCAAGTTTTGCAGTGGTAGCAGTATTTTGGGTCTTCTTCAAACTCCACTGTTTGTGTGTATGATTTGCCCATGCAGAAAACCTCAAATTGAGTCACAGGCTGTTTTGAGAAGTCCACCTCAACAAGCACTCTACAAAAATCACCCTTGCCATGCTGTTTGGTGACAAGGTCAGTCCTTAAGGGTTTCCCAACTTTTGAGGCCAACATCCCAATGCCTTCTTCTGACCATAATTGCATGGGTACATTATGAAGTTGAACCCAAACAGGAAGCGTGGTAAACTCAGCAAAGTCAAACAGGAAACCATGAGAGGGAATTTTTAGCCTAAATTCCTTTCCATAGGCTTTATCCCTCTGCCTTCCCAAAATCTCCATTCTATCACTATCAGTTTCAAATTCAAGGATAACCCAGCCCTTGCAATGGGGAATAATTCTACAAGGTACATTCCAACTCTTGACAATGGCATCAACTGCCTTGAGGCCGGGGAAACGTCCAGTGAAGCACCCCACTAGGCAAAAGCCCCACAGTTCCTCAATAGGCTTGATAACAGAATCTGGAATATGGAGAACGCCTTCACCAACATCATAATGCTTCAAAACCATACCTTGGTCAGGGTCCCTATTACCTTTGAAGAGGTTAGCAAAGGTAACAGGTTTGGGAGCAACCTTCTCTGGCTCAGGCACTTTGTCAAGCACCTGGGAGGTGTTCTGCGCAGTAGTTGTATCCACCTAAGGAGCGAGGTCAGGGACAACTTCAACAGAAGCAGGCTACGTTTGGGTTATGCATCCTCCTAGGTTGATAATAGTTGCTAGGGGGCTTAACCATATTCATCCTATTTTGAAAAACATTGGTTTTTGAAAATTTTCTCTTCTAGGAGGTGTCCTAGCATTATTTTGTCTATTTGAAAAATTATTTTTATGCATAAATTCATTTTGATAATTTTTCCTAGGTTGTCTAACATGCACATTTTCATTCTTAGGTTTTTGTCTAGTTTGTCTAGTGTCCTTAGATTTACTAGATTTTCTATTATCCTGATTTTTAAATTTCTTACGTTGAACCTTAGGAGGTTGTCTAGGTGTTTGCTCAACGTTTTTATCCTTAGCTTCATTTTTATTAAAGCCTAATCCTTCCTTAGAAAAGTGCATAGTGTCAAGAAGTAAGTTAAGATCTTTGTGTGGAGTATTGAATTTCTTGACCGTACTCTCAAGTTTTGCAACCTTTCCTTTTAAAGCTTTGCAAGATTCACATTCACTTGAAGAGCTTTCCGGTTTGTCAGCGTTTCTTTTGCCATAAAATTTATTTTCTTGTTTTAATTTTTCATTATCTTTTTCCAGTTTTTCAAAATCATTTTCAAGAGATGAAAGACGTTTCTTTAATGATTTGTTGATTTTTGAAGCGCTAACAAAATCATCGTAAAGCTCACGAAGTGCTTCTTGCATCTCTTTAAAAGTCTAAGAGTCAGAAGAAGCGGTACATACCCCTTGTACTTCGTCGGCGTGGTCTTCGTGTGCCATGAGACAGAGGTTGGCGGCTTCATCCTCTTCTTGGTCGGTTGACTCGTCGCCGGAGTCGCCACCCCACGAGGTATACGCTCTTTGCTTTTTGAAGCCGGGTTTGTCCTTGCCGTTTTTGCCTCTTGGACACCTCGGCTTGATGTGGCCTATCTCGCCACAGCCATAGCACTTCGGGGGACCGTCGTGCTTTCTTCCTTTCCACTCAAATTCCTTCTTCATGAGTTTGTGGAATGTCTTGATGATGAGTCCAAACTCGTTGTCATCATCGCTTGAGACTTCTTCCACCGTCTCTTTGGTTGCTTTGAGCGTTATTCCTTTCTTCTTTTGTTCATCCAAAGACGGGGTCAGAATAGTGGATTCATAAGTTTTGAGATTACCTCTTAACCTGTCGTTGGTGATGTTGGAGACTCCGATGGAATCGTAGATTGTGTCGGCCTTTGATCTCCATTCGGGTGTGAGACTCCGCAGGATTTTTCTTACTAAATCCTTGTTGGCGTAGGTCTTCTTGAGTGCATGAAGGTCATTGATGATCTTCGAGAACCATTCGAACATATCATCGATCTTCTCGCCTTCCTTCATTTTGAACATCTCGTACTCCTGCGTGAGGAAGTCAATTTTGGCTTCCTGAACTTGGTCTGTACCTTCGTATGTGACCTCTAGCTTGTCCCAAATTTCTTTAGCGGTTGTGCAGCAAGAGATCTTGCAATAATCGTCGGGGTTGACCGCAAAGTAGAGCATATTGATCGCCTTAGCGTAGTTCTCCACCTTTTTTATGTCTTCGGCATCAAATTCGTCCTCGGTCTTTGGGACGAGTTTTTCACCAACCTTTTTCATTGGCGTTTCTTTGCCATTCTTGATGACCAACCACAATTGGAAGTTGGTTGAGCGGATACAGATTCTCGAAGAGCGGTGGCCTAGAGGTTGATTGACCTTCCCCAATCCCTGCATAAAGATTTCTAGAAGAAGAACCCATGATCGCTTTTCTCACAAACGGTTAAGTTTGGACGCGAGTTAGGCTCTGATACCAATTGTTAGAATAAAAGACCAACGCTAGAGGGGGGGTGAATAGCGTTTGATCGTAGAAATCGCAGGAATAAAAAAATTAAAGGAGAAGTAAAGAGAAACGTAATAGGCACAATGAATTTACCCTGGTTCACCACAACTTGTGGCTAATCCAGCCTCCCGAGAGACTCTCTCGAGCTACAATACTAACTCGTTAAGCTTAGCGGTGCTTAACAAACCCTTAAACCTTGAGAATTCGAGTTACACGAACCTCAACAAAACCTCCGAAGGAAACAGCCCTTCCTTCGAATCAAACGAGAGAAATACTTTCTCTCAACGTGTCTTAGAACACAAATGCACTCAAGAACGAGACTCTCTTTAAGAGTAGATATTGAGTAAACTAAGTACGCTCAAGAACAACTCAAACTTCACACGAATTAGCTCTAAAAAGCTATGGAAAATGATGTTTGAATGCAATGATAATATGAATATTGTGAAGTGAATTTGTGAGTAAAGCAGACCCAAACACCCCTTTTTATAGTGCCAAAATAGGCTCCAACGGACCAAGGCATTAAAGGGGTGATTGGCTTGATCTATGGGATTGATTAAAATGTGGATCTGCAGGATATTGGCTTTCCCAGCGATGTATGCACTAACCCATCTCTGGTAAGCCAATTTTCCTTCAGTTTTAAAGCCAACGGTCACCTACCCATCGATGGGTACAAGCTTCCCATCGCTGGGTGGGAGGTTGACTTCCAAAGAAGGAAAGAATCAACCTTAAATGACTTACAACGGTCATGCCTAACAAGCGATGGGTATGTCCTCCTATCGCTGGGTTCCCATCGATGGGTTAAAGTCCCCATCGTTAGGTAAGGCCATTCTGCCTTGTGTTAATGTTGGACCAAGGTTTTAACAGCGATGGATAGAACTTCCCATCGCTGTTTGGCATGGTTCTGGAACTCGGTTGGGCTAAAGGTGAGCTTACCCATCGATGGGTATTTCTTCCCATTGCTAGGTGGATGGTTAGTCAAAAACCCATGGCTTTTGCCTGAACCATGGCCTAGCCAACCGATACAAAAACCGACCGAAAAATCCAAAGTTCTCCAAAATAAAAACCAAGTGTTTAAAACACTTATTTGATGTATTTGGATAAGAAATAAAGTGAGACACTTTAAAAACCACGTCATTTGACAAAAAACCACGGCAAGCCAAGTTTATGTCGTTTTGCGTGGTTTTTGCCAAACGACCAAAAACGAAAGGTGGTTTTCAAGGTGTTTTTGTTGGACAACTATTTAAACATGACATGAAGTAAAAATCAATCATAAAATGTTGAAAACCACTTGGTTGGTTTGGACGCCAAAAACCAATGCCGAAAACCGAATGCCGAACGCCGGTTTCTGAAAGCCGGATGGCTTGGTTTTTGGTTTGGGCGAACACCAGGTTTTTTAATATTTTAGACATGTTTGAAAAACATTTTTATGATATGTGAAATGCGAAAATAGATTTTAGCCTAAAGAGCCAAGGTGTGAGGTTTGGGTCGGTCTTGATCACATTTGTGACCGACTCAACCACACTAAGACTACGATCTTCGTTATTAGTCTTCTTTTATCTCTTCGTTCTTCGCATTGTATATTCACTGTTTTGTCTTGATCACGGTGGTTTGACATTATCAAAGCATGTCATAAAAACGAACACGGCTTTAGTACGAAAATGTGATAAGGCCGTGTTTCAACACCCTCCATCCCGCGAACCTGGTTCGCCGTGGCCCAACAAGCCAGAGAGGTTACGTAGACGGTTTTTTGGACCATCTACAGGAAAACCCTTGCGTTACTATTGTAACTAAAAACCTTTGATATGTTTTATTAAATGATGAATATAATTCTCTTAAAGTAAATGTTTCATAGCGGAAGTAAAGTGAAAGTAATAAATGTAAAGTCTTAAATAAAGGAAGTGCAACAATGGTGGGTTCAAGCCCAAAACAGTTATATTATAAAACTGATAATAAGTCAGGTCCACACTGTCGCCTATCTGCCGCCCCGATCTCCCAATCATCCGGGTCAGGCCCCATGATCATCTCCCCTACCTGCGTATAGCAAAAAAACAACGCTATACATTCAACATAAGCTGAGTGGAAATCTAACAATAGAACGCATAGTGCATTCACATTGATATAAACATCATTGCACATGTACTAAAGTACAAGATACCACATACAAGTTTGATAAACAAGAGCTGAATAATGATAAACGATGTAATGCCAAATAAACCATGATGCATGAGTTAGACTACGTTAGGGACACCCCTACCCTTCGGTGATCATCCCCACGCGCTAGATGAGCTGAGGAACGCCTTAGTCTTCCTGATGGAGATTAGATACTGTGGGTGATAGCTGAAAGCCTAGCTAACATGTACGTACACAAGCCCTCTTGATGAAACCCGTTAGATCTCGAAGGCTCTTGGACGGGCCCGCGGAAGAGGCGCACTAGGCCTGACCTCTTGTCGCGGTATGCAAGTATATATGCCATGCTCTTAAACATGCGTCTAGGATATACGTGATGATATGAATGCATTGCCTGAAGAATGAAGTTAAGTTCAATGCACTGTTTAGATATGACCCATTGTCTTACATACGAAGAGGAGTCAGTAGAGATTGTGACCGGGATGGATAATCGATTATCAGCCAGTTCTAGCTCATGCATCATGGTTTATTTGGCATTGCATCGTTTATCATTATTCAGCTCTTGTTTATCAAACTTGTATGTGGTATCTCGTACTTTAGTACAGGTACAATAATGTTTATATCAATGTGAATGCACTATGCGTTCTACTGTTAGATTACCACCCAGCTTATGCTGAACGTATAGCGTTGTTTTTTTGCTATATGCAGGTAAGGGAGATGATCATGGAGCCTGACCCGGATGATTAGGAGATCAGGGCGGGAGATAGGCGACAATGTGGACCCGACTTATTATCAATTTCATAATATAACTGTTTTGGGCTTGAACCCACCATTGTTGCACTTCCTTTATTTAAGACTTTACGTTTATTACTTTCATTTTACTTCCGCTATGAAACATTTACTTTAAGAGAATTTATCTTCCTCATTTAATAAAATATATCAAAGGTTTTCAATTACAATAGTAACGCAGGGTTTTCCTATAGATGGTCCTAAAAACCGTCTAAGTAACCTCTCTGGCTTGTTGGGCCGCAGCGAGCGGTTCCACGGCCGCAAATGGTTCGTCAATCGGACGAGTAACGAAGGCGATACGGCCGTTTTACCAAAACTGGTCTAGTGGCAACGGAAAATGCGAGGTTTGCAATTTCCGCCCCCGTTCTCATTCCGTCACAAGCCTTGTTTAAGCCAGCATTCTCCCAGGTGATTCCTTCCATAGTATTTAAACGACGGATACTTCCGCTTCCTCGACCTATCGACAGATGCTAGTGAATGGGTTTGCACAGATTTTCATCTTTTAGAGATATGTGAATTACTAGGTCCTTGGAAAGGCCTTTTCCATTTCGAAATAGAACAGGTGGGTCTATGAGTACTTGGACTGAAATTATTCATCTTCAAATACTCATTACAAGCATTCAAGTTGTTGTCTACCCTGGCTATTAGATCGTTAGCCTCCGCGAAATCCACAGTGGTCAAGATGGACACCCGCGACCTGAGGTCAGGTCGAATTTCTTCTTGAACTCCTCAATGCGATCGGTTGGGGTACTCACCAAAGTTGGTGCGAACTTAGCAAGACTGGTAAACTTCTGACAATATTCAGGGAGTGTCATATCTCCCTATTGCACTTCAACAAATTCCTTACATCTTTCTTCGCTAAAACATTTAGGAATATATTCTTGCTTAAATGCCCATTCAAATGTGCCCAAGTCCACGGCTTTGGGGTTTCCGCGCTTTCATCGGTTCTCTTCCACCATTCGTAGGCTTCCTTGCGAAGCAGCTGAGAAGCCAGTCTGGGATAGTTGCCGATGGGTACATTAAAATCTTCCAATACTCAAGCGGTCTGCTCGATCCAATCCCATGCAATTTGGGGTTCAGCATGCGATCCCTAAGGAATATCTCCGTACCATTATCCCTTAGCATTTTTTAGGTTACCACACGAGGTGGCGGTGGTGGAGGTGGTTGAAACATTGGTGCATTGGCTATTCTTGAAACACGGGTTTATCACGTTTTCGTACTAAAACCGTGTGCGTTTCTATGACAGGTTTTGATAATGTCAAACCGCCGTGATCAAGACAAACCATTGAATATACAAGGCGAGGAACGAAGATAAGAACAAGAACTACAAGAAGACCAAGAACGAAGACCGTAGTCTTAGTGTCGTTGAGTTGGTCACATATGTGATCAAGACCGACCCAAACCTCACGCCTTGGCTCCTTAGGCTAACTTCTATTTTTGCATTTCTCATATCATAAAAATGTTTTTCAAACATGCTTAAAACATTAAACACACTTTGTGTTTGCCCAAACCAAAAACCAAGCCATCCGGCGTTTGGCTTTCAGAAACCGGCATTTGGCTTTTAGAAACCGGCGTTCGGCATTCGGTTATCGGCGTTGGTTTTTGGCGTCCAAACCAACCAAGTTGTTTTCAACATTTTATGATTGGTTTCTACTTATGGGCATGTTTAAATTGCTCTCAAACAAAAACACTTCAAAACCACGTGGTTTTTAAAATGTTTCACTTGATCTCTTAGCGAAATACATAAAATAAGTGTTTTAAACACTTGGTTTTTATTTTGGAGAACTTTGGTTTTTTTGGTCGTTTTTAGCATCTGTTGGCAAGCCATGGTTCAGGCAAAAACCATGGGTTTTTGACTAACCATCCACCCAACGATGAGAAGAGTTACCCATCGATGGGTAAGCGGACCTTCAGCCCAACCGAATTCCAGAACCATGCCAAACAGCGATGGGAAATTCTACCCATCGCTGTTCAAGCCTTGGTCCAACATTAACACAAGGCAAAATGACCTTACCCAGCGATGGGGACTTTAACCCATCGATGGGAACCTAGCGATGGGAGGGCATGACCGTTGGAAGTCATTTAAGGTTGATTCTTTCCTTGTTTGGAAGTCAACATCCCACCCAGCGATGGGAAGCATGTACCCATCAATGGGTAGGTGACCGTTGGCTTCAAAACTGAAGGAAAATTGGCTTACCAGCGATGGGTAAGTCCATACATCGCTGGGAAAGCCAATATCCTGCAGATCCATATTTTAATCAATCCCATAAATCATGTCAATCACCCCTTTAATGCCATGATCCGTTGGATCCTATTTTGGTACTATAAAAAGCGGTGTTTGGGTCTTCTTTACTCACCAATTCACTTCACAATATTCATATTATCATTGCATTTCAAACAACATCATTTTCCATAGCTTTTTAGAGCCAATTCGTGTGAAGTTTGAGTTGTTCTTAAGTGCATTAGTGTTTTAAGACACGTTGAGAGAAAGTATTTCTCTTGTTTGATTCGAAGGAAGGGATGTTTCCTTCGAAGGACTCGTTGAGGTTCGTGTAACTCAAATTCTCAAGTTGTAAGGGTTTGTTAAGCACCGTTAAGTTAACGAGATAGTAGTGTAGCTCGAGAAAGTCTCTCGGGAGGCTGGATTAGCCACAAGTTGTGGTGAACCTGGGTAAATTCGGTGTGCCTCTTACTCTTCTCTGTACTTCTCCTTTAAATTTTTTATTCCTGCGATTTCTACGATCAAACGCTATTCACCCCCTCTAGCGTTGGTCATTTATTCTAACAATTGGTATCAGAGCCTAACTCGCGTCCAAACTTAACCGTTTGAGAGAAAAGCGATCATGGGTTCTTCTTCTAGAAATCTTTATGCAGGAATTGGAGAAGGTCAATCAACCTCTAGGCCACCATTCTTCGAAGGCACCAACTACACATATTAGAAAGACCAGATGAGAATTTATATCCGCTCAACCAACTTCCAATTGTGGTTAGTCATCAAGAACGACGAAGAAACGCCAATGAAAAAGGTTGGGGAGAAACTCGTCCCAAAGACCGAGGACGAATTTGATGTCGAAGACATAAAAAAGGTAGAAAACTATGCAAAGGCGATCAACATGCTTTACTATGCGGTCAACCCCGACGACTATCACAAGATCTCGTGCTGCACAACCGCCAAAGAGATGTGGGACAAGCTCGAGGTTACATATGAAGGTACGGACCATGTTCGGAAAGCCAAGATTGACTTCCTCATCCAGGAGTACGAAATGTTCAAAATGAAGGAAGGCAAGAAGATCGATGACATGTTCGATCAGTTCTCAAAGATCATCAATGACGTTCATGCACTCAAGAAAACTTATGCCAACAAGGATCTAGTAAGGAAAATCCTACGAATCCATCGGAGTCTCCAACATCACCATCGACGGGTTGAGAGGTAACCACAAAACTTATGAATCTACTATTCTAACCACGTCTCTGGATGAACAAAAGAAAGGAATAGCGCTCAAAGCAACCAAGGAAACGGAGGAAGAAGTCTCAAGCGATGATGACAACGAGTTTGGACTCGTCATCAAGAAATTCCACAAGTTCATGACGAAGGAATTTGAGCGCAAAGGAAGAAAGCACGACGGTCCCCCGAAGTGCTATGGCTGTGGCGAGATAGGCCACATCAAGCAGAGGTGTCCAAGAGGCAAAAACGGTAAGGACAAACCCGGCTTCAAAAAGCAAAGAGCGTATATCTCGTGGGGTGGCGACTCCGGCGACGAGTCAACTGACCGAGAAGAGGATGAAGCTGTCAACCTCTGTCTTATGGCACACGAAGTCCAAATCGACGATGTACAAGAGGTATGTACCACTTCTTCCTACTCTTACACTTTTGAAGAGATGCAAGAAGCACTTCGTGAGCTTTACGATGAATTTGTTAGCGCTTCAAAAATCAACAAATCATTAAAGAAACGTCTTTCATCTTTAGAAAATGATTTTGAAAAACTGGAAAAAAGATAATGAAAAATTGAAACAAGATAATAAATTTTATGGCAAAAGAAGCGCTGACAAACCGGAAAGCTCTTCAAATGAATGTGAGTCTTGCAAAGATTTAAAAGAAAAAGTTTCAAAACTTGAGAGTACGGTTAAGAAATTCAATACTCCACACAAAGATCTTAACTTACTCCTTGACACTATGCACTTTTTTGAGGAAGGATTGGGTTTTAATATAAACGAAACTAAGGATAAAAACATTGAGCAAACACCTAGACAACCTCCTAAGGCTCAACATATGAAAGTTAAAAATCAGGATAATCGAAAATCTAGTCAACCTAATTAAGGACACTAGACAACCTAGACAAAAATCTAGGAATGAAAATGTACATATTAGTGACAATAAGGTCATTCTACATGGTGATAGAATCGATAACATATATGGTTAACTTAGACAAATCTCCTTCCGGCTTTGCTAAGTGCCTCATGAGTAAAGAGGAAGACACTTTGTTATGGCACCAAAGGGTAGCTCATATGAACATGAACCTTTTGAACAAATTGGTTTAACAAGACTTAGTAATTAGCATTCCAAAACTTAAGTTTGAAAAAGACACCATATGTGATGCATGTCAAAAGGGGAAGCAAGTTCAGGCTTCATTTAAGTCTAAGAACGTTGTTTCAACGTCTAGACTGCTTCAACTTTTGCACATGGATCTCTTTGGTCCTTCTAGAACGAAAAGTTTTGGTGGTAATTACTTTGCGTTTGTGATTGTCGATGACTACTCTAGGTTTACATGGACCTTGTTTCTTACTCATAAAAGTGAGGCATTTCATGTTTTCAAAAATTTTCTAAAGAAAGTTCAAAATGAGAAAGAAACAACCATATTAGCCATAAGAAGCGACCATGGGGGAGAGTTCGAACGAAATCTATTTTCAGATTTGTGTGACGAACTCGGCATTGATCACAATTTCTCAGCCCCACGTACACCACAACAAAATGGAGTGGTGGAACGTAAAAATAGTTGTCTCGAAGAGATGGCTAGAACTATGATCAATGAGGCAAAAATCCCTAAGTATTTTAGGGTGGATGCCGTGAGTACCACGAGCTACATGTTAAACCGAGCCGTCATTCGACCGATACTCATGAAAACGCCTTATGAACTATACAAAGAGAGAAAGTCAAACCTTTCCCATCTTCGAGTCTTTGGTTGCAAATGTTTTATTCATAACAACGGCAAAGATAACTTAGGCAAATTTGATGTCAAGTCGGACGAAGGGATTTTTCTGGGTTACTCATTACGTAGAAAGGCCTATAGAGTCTTTAATAAACATTCCTTGACTATTGAGGAGTCTCCTCACGTTGTATTTTCCGAAGATAATCCTCGCTTGGCGAGAAAGGATATTTGTGATTATCTTGCAGATTCACTTGAAAGAATACACGTCGAAGACGATGAAGAAAACACGGAAATCTACATCAACACGCAGCCGCAAACTGAGGAGACGCCTCTAGTGACTAACCAAGGTAAAGAAGATCAAGAGGAAGAAGAAGAACAAGAGGAAGCCCAGGAACAAGAAGAAGAACAGACCGAGCTTCCCGTCGCATGGAGAACAAACAAGAACCATCCGCTTGATCAAGTAATCAGTATCATCAACCACGGGGTAAGTACTGGAAACTCACTTAGGGACACTGTAGGACACATGGCTTTTGTTTCTCAAATTGAACCTACAACCATTTCCGAAGCAATAAACGATGAACATTGGACCTTGGCTATGCAAGAGGAGCTAAACCAATTCAAACGGAATGACATTTGGGAATTGGTGCCAAGGCCCGATGATCGTACGATTATTGGTACGAAATGGGTGTTCCGTAATAAACTTGATGAAAATGGAATAATCACTAGAAACAAAGCTAGGCTCGTAGCTAAAGGCTATAGTCAAGAAGGAGGCATTGATTTTGTAGAAACTTATGCACCCGTAGCATGCTTAGATGCTATACGTTTACTTCTTGCTTTTGCCTCGTCTATGGATTTTAAACTTTATCAAATAGATGTTAAGAGTGCCTTCCTCAATGGTTTTATTCAAGAGGAAGTGTATGTTGACCAGCCCCCGGGGTTTGAAGACTTTGAGTATCCCAGCCATGTCTTCAAACTTAAGAAAGCGCTCTACGGTCTTAAACAAGCACCCTGTGCTTGGTACGCAAATTTCTTTTAGATAGTGGTTTCCAAAGGGGAAAGGTCGACACTACACTTTTTATCAAGAGTAAAAACAAAAACATCCTTTTGGTTCAAGTTTATGTAGATGATATTATTTTTGGTGCTACTAACGAGTCTTTGTGCAAGGAATTTTCCAAGTTCATGACAAGCGAGTTCGAAATGTCAATGATGGGCGAGCTCGCGTTCTTTTTGGGACTTCAAGTGAAGCAAATGAGAGATGGCACATTCATTTGCCAAACTAAGTATTGCAAAGAACTCCTAAAACGGTTCGAAATGGACAATGCCAAAGCCATGGCGACCCCGATGGGCACGTCCGGCCATCTTGACCAAGACGAGAAAGGTAAGGAAGTAGAAGTCAAAGAGTATCGAGGTATGATTGGATCCCTTCTCTACCTTACCGCTAGTAGGCCGGATATCATGTTTAGCATATGCTTTTGCGCAAGGTATCAATCGTGTCCGAAGGGATCGCACTTAACGGCGGTGAAACGGATCATGAAATACCTTGTTGGCACGGTTAACGTTGGACTATGGTATCCAAAAGGCTCTTCTTGTCATCTCGTTGGTTATTCCGACTCGGACATTTCTAGTTGCAAGTTGGACCGTAAAAGCACGATTGGGACTTGCCACTTACTTGGTAGCTCTTTAGTTTCATGGTTTAGTAAGAAACAAGTCAGTGTTGCGTTATCCACAACCTAAGCAGAATACATTGCTGCCGGTAGTTGTTTTTCTCAAATCCTTTGGATGAAGCAACAACTCGTGGACTATGGCCTTAGTATCAATCACGTTCCACTCCGTTGTGATAATACTAGCGACATAAGCTTGACGAAGAACCCCGTTCTTCACTCAAGGATGAAACACATTAACATTAGGCATCATTTCATTAGAGATCATGTTCTCAAAGGTGATGTCGAAATTGAGTTTGTTGAAACACACAACCAATTAGCCGACATTTTCACAAAACCTTTAGAGAAAGAGTTGTTCTTCCGCATTCGTAGTGAACTCGGAATCCTTGACTCCACGATGATCTAATTTGTGCATTTTACTACACCTTTATCCTTATTTAAACATTTACTAACTTGAGCGTCGGAGGGTTTTCTAACTCTTTTTTGCAGGGACGGTTCGATATGAGGGAATCAGGAAGTCAGGGGGAACCAGCGATGGGTGGTTTATACCATCGCTGGGAGGGAAGTCTCCTCTTTCCAGAACATCTCCACCCATCGATGGGAACTTCCTCCCATCGCTGGGTGATTGACTCTATTTTTTTAAAATGCTTAACGGATTTCCAGAATCTCTTTACCCATCGATGGGAACTTTCTCCCATCGCTGGGTGTATGACTATAGTTTAAATTATTTTTCAGAACCGCCCTACCCATCGATGGGAACTTCCTCCCATCGCTGGGTGTTTAACACTATTTTTTTTTAAATTTTTAACGGATTTCCAAAATTCACCTACCCAGCAATGGGATGGTATTAACATCGCTGGGAAGGCCAATTTCATTTTCCAGTAGCCACCTTCCCATCGATGGGAAAATCCACACATCGCTGGGAAGGCAACCTTGACTTCTTCCTCGCTTTCTAGTGGCTACCTTCCCATCGATGGGTGGATCCTACAATCGCTGGGAAGGCTGGTGCAATTCAAAAATATAATAGCCGTTGGGCACCCAATTAAATTCCCTACAGCCATATTTTTGAATTCAAACGGCCCTCAACCTCTTTCCCTATATATTTCCATCACCGTTGGTCATTTTTACACACATTTAACATCACAATCTTCACTCTTTAGCCTATTCTACACAATTAATCACTTTTTCTTCACAAACGCCTCTACGATGGCCGGAGGAAAATCAAAGACGAAGGATTCCAAGAAGAAAGGCACCACCAAAGCCACAACTTCAGCGCCTCAGCCGTTCCCTTACCTTGACGGTTCTTTCTTGGAGTTCGGGTCGGAGGAGGAACTCACCCGATTCCTCACGCACTTCGCCAAGCGCCCCATGTCTCCGCCTCGAGTGCTCCTGGAGTTGTTTCCCCTACAAAAGGGGTACCACGAGCTCGAAAACCAACTCCAAGCGTCGGGTTTGTGGCCCTTCGTCTCCAAGAGCCGCACGTCCTACAATCCCGCCTTTGTCCGGGCCTTCTACTCCAATCTCCACCGCGACAGAGACACTATCTACAGCAGCATCAATCTCTACGACATAGAGATTGATTTTCCCACTTTTGCACAGATCGCAGGGCTTCCCATCCGAGGCGACGACATCGCAACGTATGGTGGCGACGATTGGATCCTCAACAACGAGGCGGTCGTCATTCGAGAGCTTGGAATCACCAACCTCATCCACCACGGCGGCGCGCCGACGATCCACTCGGCCCCACTAGAGAAGCGCCTTCTTCTCTACATCCTCACCCGGATTCTTCGCCCCCGGGACAGCAGCCACACCTCGCTCTTCAACGAGTACTTGAAGGCGATTCACGCAAATATCCACGGCGCCTACATCAACTGGGCAAAATTCGTCATGATACTCCTGGCGGATTGCGCCTCCCTCGCCACCGAGCGGAGATTGTCATACGCCTTCCTTGTCATGGATCTCATCGTGTCCGCCGATATCCACATTGTTGGGCCAAGCACGAAGATGACGAAGCTTTGGATCATCGCCGACAACACCTTAAAGAAGAATCCAGAAACCGAGATGACGCAGGACCGAGTCGTGCCCCTGCCCCTGCCCCCGCTCCCGCCCGGGCCTCTTTGCAATCCATAGCCGAAACCCTGAATCGGCTAACCCACACGGTGGACGGCATGGGGCAATACATGGAGCAGATGGACTGGACGCTGCAATGCCAACATCATGACATGACGGCGTTCTTCCGTGGCATCAACAACGTCACGCCGCCTTTTGACAGTACAATCCTTGGCCAAAACTTCAAAGGCGGGGATAAGGACGACGACTCCTACGCTCCGTCCTCCTCTCCCAACGAGGCAGACTTTGTAGACGCGGTCGACGGCGAACCCATAGACGTCGAGGACGACGATGATGACGAGGACGCCGACTCCTAGACTCTTCTTATTTTTTTCCTTTTAATATGATTGTATTTTTTTAATTTCTATTCCGTTGTATTCCGCATTTCCCTTTTAATGAATAAAAGTTTACTATTAATCCTTTTTGTTAATGTCAAAAAGGGGAAGATATAAGGGTTATGCATAGATTCAGGGGGAACTTTTTCTAAGACACAAAATTGTTTAAAATATGAAAACTAACTCCTACTCAAAACATAAACCTTGTTGAAAATAAAATTGCATTTATTAAGGGGGAACATTTTCTTTAAAAAAAAATCTCATAACAATCCTCTTGTGCATAACCCCGTCTTGTTTGCCATTATCAAAAAGGGGGAAATTGTTGAAACACGGGTTTATCACGTTTTCGTACTAAAGTCGTGTTCGTTTCTATGACAGGTTCTGATAATGCCAAACCGCCGTGATCAAGACAAAACATTGAATATACAAGGCGAGGAACGAAGATAAGAACAAGAACTACAAGAAGACCAAGAATAAAGACCGTAGTCTTAGTATTGTTGAGTCTGTCACAAATGTGATCAAGACCGACCCAAACCTTACGCCTTGCCTCATGTTTTTCAAACATGTTTAAAACATTAAAAACACTTGGTGTTCACCCAAACCAAAAACCAAGCCATCCAGCGTTCGGCTTTCAGAAAGCGGCATTTGGCTTTTAAAAACCAGCGTTCGGCATTCGGTTATCGGCGTTGGTTTTTGGCGTCCGAACCAACCAAGTGGTTTTCAACATTTTAGGATTGGTTTTTACTTCTGGGCATGTTTAAATTGCTCTCCAACAAAAACACTTCAAAACCATCTTTCGTTTTTGGTCGTTTGGCAAAAACCACGCAAAACGGCATAAACTTGGCTAGTCGTGGTTTATACTCAAACGACGTGGTTTTTAAAATGTTTCACTTGATCTCTTAGCCAAATACATCAAATAAGTGTTTTAAACACTTGGTTTTTATTTTGGAGAACCTTGGTTTTTTTGGTCGTTTTTAGCATCGGTTGGCTAGGCCATGGTTCAGACAAAAACCATGGGTTTTTTACTAACCATCCACCCAGCGATGGGAAGAGTTACCCATCGATGGGTAAGCGGACCTTCAGCCCAACCGAATTCCAGAACCATGCCAAACAGCGATGGGAAGTTCTACCCATCGCTGTTCAAGCCTTGGTCCAACATTAACACAAGGCAAAATGACCTTACCCAGCGATGGGGACTTTAACCCATCGATGGGAACCTAGCGATGGGAGGGCATAACCATCGCTGGGTAGGGATGACAGTTGGAAGTCATTTAAGGTTGATTCTTTCCTTGTTTGGAAGTCAACATCCCACCCAGCGATGGGAAGTATGTACCCATCGATGGGTAGGTGACCGTTGGCTTCAAAACTGAAAGAAAATTGGCTTACCAGCGATGGGTAAGTCCATACATCGCTGGGAAAGCCAATATCCTGCAGATCCACATTTTAATCAATCCCATAAATCATGCCAATCACCCCTTTAATGCCATGATCCGTTGGAGCCTATTTTGGCAGTATAAAAAAGGGTGTTTGGTTCTACTTTACTCACCAATTCACTTCAAAATATTCATATTATCATTGCATTTCAAACAACATCATTTTCCATAGCTTTTTAGAGCCAATTCGTGTGAAGTTTGAGTTGTTCTTGAGCGTATTTAGTTTACTCAATATCTACTTTTAAAGAGAGTCTCGTTCTTGAGTATATTAGTGTTCTAAGACACTTTGAGAGAAAGTATTTCTCTTGTTTGATTCGAAGGAAGGGCTGTTTCCTTTGAAGGACTCGTTGAGGTTCGTGTAACTCGAATTCTCAAGTTGTAAGGGTTTGTTAAGCACTTAGTAGCGTAGCTCGAGAGAGTCTCTCGGGAGGCTGGATTAGCCACAAGTTGTGGTGAACCAGGGTAAATTCGGTGTGCCTCTTACTCTTCTCTTTACTTCTCCTTTAAAGTTTTTATTCCTGCGATTTCTACGATCAAACGCTATTCACCCCTCCTCTAGCATTGGTCACACACACACACACACACACACACACAGATATATATATATATATATATATATATATATATATATATATATATATATATATATATATATATATATATATATATATATATATATATATATATATATATATATATATATATATATATATATATATATATATATATATATATATATATATATATATATATATATATATATATATATATATTTAAATCCAAATTTTGATCCGAAGATCGGTTTTAAAACCAGTTGCTCTGATACCAAATTGTAACACCTTAATCCGTCCAGGTCTGCAGCCCCTTTCGGACTAATGTGCTAATTTGGAAATCGTAAAAAATTAAAACATTTCAATATCTTTATTCATCATAAAATAATATTCAATACATCACTGTGACAAAATACGGAGTGTTTAACCATAATGAGGAAGCAATTTAAACCATGTCTCATAACAACATAATTTGTTCATTTTAGTCATAAATTCACCACGACCATCTTGCCCCTTCCGCTGCCAGGAACATGCGAATCACTCATTCTGCCTACCTGCGTGTAGCAAATAAAATACACTACACGCTCAGCGGTGAAGCTAAGTAAGCATATCTAAGACGTCGAACATCCACATAAATTTAATCTCAATTCATAATGTAGAGAAAGGAAAGACTTTTCCATCAAAAGAAAGGAAAGACTTTTCCATCAAAAGAGTCACCAGGGAGCTCTGAGTTCAAAGTCACTAAAGAAAGAGATGTTAAGCCACAACTACAAGATTCGTCAATATCTGCTACGAAGTGTTTCTGTAGAAAAGTTTAGCGCAACTGAACTGGTTTTCCATTAATCATAAACCGATATATATACAAGTACATAAGCGGGCTACAAGTACACGCCCAATAACACGATATCTACGCCTAATTACAAATATCCGCTAACACTCCCCCTCAAGTTGGAGCATGAAGATCCCGAATGCCCAACTTGAATAACAAGAAATCAAAAACAGGTTTGGGTAATGGTTTAGTAAAAATGTCAGCCAATTGATATCGCGTGGGAACATAGCGCATTGACACCTCATGGCGCTGAACAGATTCACGAACCGTATGACAATCAACATCGACATGCTTCATCCGTTCATGAAACACTGGATTTGCTGCAATATACAAAGCTGATTGATTATCACAGTATAAACGCGGAGGATATAAAATAGGGACACCTAACGCGCCCAAAATTCCATGCATCCAGCGTATCTCAACACACGCGTGGGCCATGGCCCTATATTCAGCTTCTGCAGATGATCGCGCCACGGTAGTTTGTTTCTTCGTCTTCCATGATACCGGGGAAGTGCCCAACATAATAAAATATCCGCTAACGGACCGTCGAGAAAGAGGGCAACTAGCCTAGTCAGAGTCACAATAAGCGGTAATCTGAAAATTACTAGTGGCACTCAGAAAGATTCCCTGACCCGGATGGCCTTTGATATAACGTAGAACACGCAAAGCAGCATTCATGTGATCAAGAGTGGGTGCCTGCATAAACTGGGACAAAACATGAACAGAATTACAAATATCCGGACGAGTGATAGTAAGATAAATCAAGCGGCCAACGAGACGACAATATCGTGCAGGATCATGAAGGAGAGGAGCTGCCGAGGTGGCTAGGCCGTGCACCGTCAGCATGGGAGTGCCCGCCGGCTTGCATCCCAACAGCCCGGCCTCTTGTAAAATCTCCATGGCATATTTGCGTTGACAAAGAACCATGCCCGACGGAGACCTCGCACATTCAATTCCCAAGAAATATTTCACAGGACCCAAGTCTTTAAGCTGAAAACATCGGTCCAAGTAGCGCTTAAAAGAGGAACACAGCGACGAATTATTGCCTGCGACCAAGATATCATCAACATAAACCAAAACAGAGAGAATATCAGGACCACGGCGTAAAATAAATAAAGTGTGGTCCTTATGAGCTTGCTTGAACCCCCAATCGCGGAGTGCAGAGCTCGGCTTATGAAACCAATTCCGAGGAGATTGACGCAATCCATACAATGATTTCCGGAGTCGACACACTTTGCCAGGAATAGAGTACCCTGGTGGTAGCCACATATAGACCTCCTCAATAAGATCTCTGTTCAGAAAAGCATTATTAACATCAAGCTGATGAACCTCCCAATTTCGAGCCACAGCTACAGATAACAAAATACTAACAGTACCCATTTTTGCAACAGGAGCAAAAGTATACAGTATAATCCGTACCAAATTCCTGGTGATTCCCCAAGACCACAAGGCGTGCCTTATCCCGCTCTTTAGTACCGTCAGACCGGAACTTAGTTCGATAAACCCATTGACACCCCAAAGGAGTACGATCAGGAGGAAGATCTGTGATGTCCCAAGTATGATTGTTTTCCAATGCGTCCCGCTGCATAGCTACACGCCAATTAGCATGTTGCATGGCCTCCTTGAAATTCTTTGGAACCTCATGGGAAGTCACAGCCGCCAAAAAAGCACGATGCCTGTCATGAAATTTCTCATAATGAACAAAATTATGGATAGGATACCGAGTACCTGAAGAACGAGAAGAGGCAACGGAAGGAGCAACCGGAGCCAATGTCTGAACGGTATGACAATAGTAATCGGCCAGGTGAGGAGGGGGGCGACGTTGACGAACTGGAGGTGGGGGTGACGGTGACGGGGAGCTGACAGGGGTTTCACCGTCAGAGCCCTCGTCGCTGCTACTGGAAGACGCCGGACTGCCGCCGCTGGGAGATGTCGCGGGAACAGTCGGCTAGAGAGGAGGGCTGGGGAAATCAGCGTGGACATGGGACGGGGATGGGCAGTTCTTGGACGGTGAGGTTTTAGGAATTGCAAACGGGAAGACAGATTCGTCAAATGAAATGTCTCGGGTATGAAAGAAACGATGCGACTCAAGATCATAAACCTGCCAACCTTTAGTTCCCGTAGGGTATCCCACAAACATGCCCTTTACACTACGAGGGTGGAATTTGTTTGGTGGGCGTTGAATATTACGGACAAAGCAGAGACACCCAAAAACCCAGAGGTGAGACAAGTCAGGAGGTTTTGAAGAAAGAATTTCGAAAGGAGATTTACCTTGTAACAGTGGAGTAGGTGTGCGGTTAATGAGATAAACAGCGGTGCGAACACATTCCCCCCAAAACTCAAGAGGTAAAGAAGCCTGAAACATTAAAGAACGAGCAACATTAAGAATGTGGCGATGTTTACGCTCAACCCGACCGTTTTGCTGTGGTGTATTGACACATGAAGTTTGAACAAGAACCCCTTTACTTATATAGAATTCACGAAGAGGCCGGTTGAGGAACTCAGTTCCATTGTCAGAACGAACAACTTTTATGATTTTATGAAACTGAGTGTTTATGAGAGTAAAAAATTGTTTCAAGCAACTAGTAACCTCACTTTTCTCAATGAGGAGGAAAACCCAAACAGCTCTAGAAAAATCATCCACAATAGTAAGGAAATAATGTGACCCAGTAGAAATACATGGAGAATATGGTCCCCACAAATCACAATGAATTCAATCAAACAATTGTTCAGCTTTATTAATACTGAGTGTAAAAGGAGAGCGAGTCTGTTTGGAGAAAAAACAAATATCACAAGACTGAAAATTTTTAATTTCAGTATGGCTCTTATTAAACGGAGGAAAAGATAAAACTTGAGGGGATGGATGGCCAAGACGCTGATGCAACAAAGATATGGACTCAGCTTTGAAGGCCTGGGCTTGAGATGGAAAGACATAAACTCCGTTGCGTGCTTCACATTGTCCAATCCGCGTCTTCGTAGTGCGGTCCTGTATCACACAAAAATGATCATCAAAGAAAACATGACAGTTATGTGAGTTTACAAGGCAACTTACGGAGATCAAATTGCACTTTAAATTAGGAACATATAAAACATTGTGCAAGATAAGAGAAGGAGACACTTGCACACGACCACACGAAGTGGACACAACATGGGTTCCATCCGGCAAGCTAATGGTGCAAGGAGACCGTGGTACAACATCCGTCAAGCAAGATAATAAACCGGTCATATGATGAGAAGCTCCACTATCAACCAACCATTCGCAAGGTACAGAGTCAGACATACCTTGTAGTTTATCAGATGACGAAGGAGTGGAATCCAGCATAGAGAATAGACGTGCAACCTGATCCGGAGACATAGAGGAGAGAGAGTTGTGCACGTCAGTCACGGCATTAGCTGTGGACGTGCCTGCCAAGGGAGCTGGGTTGCCGGACTGCCCGGCAGTAGAGAGTGGCGACTGGGCAGATGCTCGGCCACCACGATTGCTGCGTCCTCCCCCTCGGGTTGATGAAGTTCGACCACGTCCTCGGACCGAAGATGGAAACCCAATAATCAAGTAACAACGATCTGCTGTATGGCCTTGTTTCCCGCAATTAGTGCACTGGTAGGGATTGGACCCGGTACGTGGAGCAGCAAACGCCATAGCATCGGTATGGTCGTCCCGAGCACGTACAACGCTACGGTGACGCTCCTCCTGGGAGATGAGATAAAAGGCTTTGTTCAAATCTGCGAGCGGTTGAGTACCCAAGATTTGACCTCGAAGAGTACCAAACTGCTCATCATCAAGCCCCAACAAAAACTTTCTTGTTTTTGCCTTCTCAGCATTTGCTCTCAATTTCGCAGCAGCTAGGCATGCACAACCACACGTGGGATCCTCAATCCCGTATAATTTATTCCATAAAGTGACAAACTGATTGTAATACACAACCACCGTTTGACCCTTTTGCCTAAGATTCTGCAACTCATTCTCCAATTGATAAATCCGAGGCTCATTTATGGTACTATAACGAGTTTTCAAATCTAACCATAACTCGTGAACCACGGTATGAGAAGCAATACTAGGCTGTATAATTTCATCAACACTATTAAAAATCCAACTGCAAATTGTGGAATTGTTTGCTTCCCACGCTTCCAATTCCGCAGGATCAGTAGGTTTAGGCATTCCCGTAGGAGACAAAAACCCCGCCTTACTACGTCCCTTTAGTGCATTGACAATAGTTTTCTCCCAAGTATCAATATTTTCACCCTTTAACACATGCTTTGTCAAAGTATTACCTGGACCCTCAGACGGATGGAGATAATATTCTGACGATAAATCGTGGATCAAACGTGTTTTCTTGGTAGTCGAAGCCATTCCAAGAACTCAAAGCAATATGCGGTGGTGCTGGTGCACGATTCTGGCCAGCGACCGAACAGCTTCTTCGCCGGAGAAGAGAGCAAGAAACACACGACGCCGGCCTAGGGTTTGGCCGTAGAAAACGTCGGAGAACAGGGACGCGTGAGAGGCCTAGGGTTTAGGCTCCGATACCATGTAGAAAAGTTTAGCGCAACTGAACTGGTTTTCCATTAATCATAAACCGATATATATTTGTACATAAGCGGGCTACAAGTACAGGCCCAATAACACGATATCTACGCCTAATTACAAATATCCGCTAACAGTTTCTGCCGCATCCAGGTTAATCTGATATGATTAGTTTTCATAAGGGTGGTGGGCTGGAATAGAATCAAGCCCAATTAAACTTATGTGATGATCCATTTTTGTTGTGCAGAAGGGAGAGGAAAAGTAGGGTTGGAGCATTCATTCCATTTTGTCCGTTTCTAACAAAAAAGGAAAGGAGAGAGGCAGAGAGACGAAGAAGATCTATTCACCGGAAAATAGTCTCGCCACTATTTCCTTCCGGCGAGAGTGTGTGCGCAACCCAACCATTCAAGCAACCAAAAGTGAGTTTTAGAAGTCCACATTAAACCAAGTCCTTTTCTAAAGACAAAGAGATACTTTAAGAATTCTGAATCTATCTTGTTTTCTTTTCACACACAACATAAGAAGGCTTACTTGTCATTTCCTTTTTGTTAATTTTACATCTGCTTTAAAACAACCCCCCTCCCCCCAAAGTGTGTGTGTGAGTGTGAACTGCTTTATGAATACACTTTATTCTATTCCTTGGTTTTCAAGCAAGAAAAGTATTTTTCAAAATGCACCTTCCTCGAGGATTCGATCCCTTATTACTACTATACTACGGTTTATTAATTTGGTGGTTTCAAAAGGGTATTAAATTTGTAACACCTAACAAGTGTTTAACAAATTTTTGGCACCGTTGCCGGGGAAGGTCTTAAAATACTTTCTGAACATAATATACAAACTTTCATTTTACATATGATATAAACTGCTTTACACATGTACACATATACTGGAAGTACACACTTCTTACATATATAAATACAATCTGTCATACTCATACAGCCTATACTTACTATAAACCACTATTTTTTGAGCCTTTATACCTGTTTAGAGGAACATTTTTTTTCATTTTTCCATTACTAACTCTAGTTTTTTAGATATACTTGTTACCATTCTTAAGGATCTGTATGCTCTTAAGAAATGGTAAGTTGATTCATAAAGCTGAAACAGGTAAGGGAACTAAAAGTACAACCTATGGAAGTGTGGCTGAACCCTTTTCTACTTCTTTCAGTTCAACAAAAACAGTCTGTGATTGTTTTGGTGAATCTGATTCTGTGCCTATTGTTTCATGTGAATCTGAATTGCTATTTTCAATTAATTCTGAACCAAAACTTGTTCAAAACATTTTCAAAATGGCAACATTAAGAGAATTAGCTGCACCAGACCTTACCACACATCCAATGTCAATAACTTATGAGACATTGGACAGACCTTTGAAACTGAATTCAGGGTTCCTCAACATGCTGCCCAAATACCATGGCTTGCCTGGTAATGTTGTACTCAAACACAGGAAATGATTCACTCAGGATTTGGAAGTAGGAGATAATCGATTAACAAGCTCAGTAAATCGATTAATAGGATCTGACTGGTAATGTTCTGAGGAACCCAAAAGTCGATTGACTATACAAGACAATCGATTTACAAGGATTTACGCGGAACTGGATACTTCCTGAGGATGACGATAATCGATTATCAAATTATTGAAAATCGATTATGAGAAGTTTTGTACTTTGGAGAAGAATCTGCAGACTACAATAGTCGATTATCAGTTAAGGATAATCGATTATTCAGAAGTTCAGAATCAGGATCAGAGGATAAAATAGAGAAAATGTTTTGGGATTTTTGAATAGGGATAAACCAAACAATATGTAAGAGATAAACACACTCTTAATATATATTTGGGGCTGTTATCTATTTTATACAATAATAATCACTATTAAAGTATTAAATAGACTCCTAACACACACTCAAAAGTGGCCAACTTTAGAGATATTTCATTAGGAAATGGATTGAACTAGCTTCACACCAATTCAGGGAATACTTCAAGAGTAATATTAATAATGAGAATGAGATGATCTTTACAAGGCCTCATGGCCGAAATATATAATGCAAAAATAAGGGAAATTACACTTCACTTTCCTACAAATCATGTGATTAATATCCATGTGTTATTATTCTTAGTGGGCAGCACTCATTGACCAGGAAAAGGAGATTAAAAGGCTGGGATTTTGGCTTAGTATGGTTCATTAATTCCTGCCATGTGAGAAGGAAATCAAGGAAAATTGTAACTTTGACAATTAAGGATAATGTGACAAAGTTTGCACTATTCAATCACTGATTTTGGTTCCTTGATGTTTTTATCTTTATCCTTGGTAAATGGAGTTGTGTTTATGGATATTTGGAGTGGGAAATTCGGCCATA